ATTCATTAACCTGTGCTTTGTTGTCTCCATCCTTTCTCGCACAGCTGGCTGTCCTAAAGTCAAATCCGATAATAGCGGGCAGTCTCGGTGACATTAGAATGTCAACGAGGTAGTGAAAGACCGAGATGTAGAGACATTGCTCATGGGTGGTCACTCTTGGTCTGTCACTTTTGGGTTGGATTGAATGATCTTGTGCCCTGGTGGTCACTCTTGGTCTGTCACTTTTGGGTTGGATTGAGTGATCTTGTGCCCTGTGGTCACTCTTGGTCTGTCACTTTTGGGTTGGATTGAGTGATCTTGTGCCCTGTGGTCACTCTTGGTCTGTCACTTTTGGGTTGGATTGAATGATCTTGTGCCCTGGTGGTCACTCTTGGTCTGTCACTTTTGGGTTGGATTGAGTGATCTTGTGCCCTGTGGTCACTCTTGGTCTGTCACTTTTGGGTTGGATTGAGTGATCTTGTGCCCTGGTGGTCACTCTTGGTCTGTCACTTTTGGGTTGGATTGAGTGATCTTGTGCCCTGGTGGTCACTCTTGGTCTGTCACTTTTGGGTTGGATTGAATGATCTTGTGCCCTGGTGGTCACTCTTGGTCTGTCACTTTTGGGTTGGATTGAATGATCTTGTGCCCTGTGGTCACTCTTGGTCTGTCACTTCTGGGTTGGATTGAGTGATCTTGTGCCCTGTGGTCACTCTTGGTCTGTCACTTTTGGGTTGGATTGAGTGATCTTGTGCCCTGTGGTCACTCTTGGTCTGTCACTTTTGGGTTGGATTGAGTGATCTTGTGCCCTGGTGGTCACTCTTGGTCTGTCACTTTTGGGTTGGATTGAATGATCTTGTGCCCTGGTGGTCACTCTTGGTCTTTCACTTTTGGGTTGGATTGAATGATCTTGTGCCCTGTGGTCACTCTTGGTCTGTCACTTCTGGGTTGGATTGAGTGATCTTGTGCCCTGTGGTCACTCTTGGTCTGTCACTTCTGGGTTGGATTGAGTGATCTTGTGCCCTGTGGTCACTCTTGGTCTGTCACTTTGGGTTGGATTGAATGATTTTGTGCCCTGGTGGTCACTCTTGGTCTGTCACTTTTGGGTTGGATTGAGTGATCTTGTGCCCTGTGGTCACTCTTGGTCTGTCACTTTTTGGGTTGGATTGAGTGATCTTGTGCCCTGTGGTCACTCTTGGTCTTTCACTTTTGGGTTGGATTGAATGATTTTGTGCCCTGGTGGTCACTCTTGGTCTGTCACTTCTGGGTTGGATTGAGTGATCTTGAGATGATCTTGTGCCCTGTGGTCACTCTTGGTCTGTCACTTTTGGGTTGGATTGAATGATCTTGTGCCCTGGTGGTCACTCTTGGTCTGTCACTTCTGGGTTGGATTGAGTGATCTTGTGCCCTGTGGTCACTCTTGGTCTTTCACTTTTGGGTTGGATTGAATGATCTTGTGCCCTGGTGGTCACTCTTGGTCTGTCACTTCTGGGTTGGATTGAGTGATCTTGTGCCCTGTGGTCACTCTTGGTCTTTCACTTTTGGGTTGGATTGAATGATTTTGTGCCCTGGTGGTCACTCTTGGTCTGTCACTTCTGGGTTGGATTGAGTGATCTTGTGCCCTGTGGTCACTCTTGGTCTGTCACTTTTGGGTTGGATTGAATGATCTTGTGCCCTGGTGGTCACTCTTGGTCTGTCACTTCTGGGTTGGATTGAGTGATCGTGTGCCCTGTGGTCACTCTTGGTCTTTCACTTTTGGGTTGGATTGAATGATTTTGTGCCCTGGTGGTCACTCTTGGTCTGTCACTTCTGGGTTGGATTGAGTGATCTTGTGCCCTGTGGTCACTCTTGGTCTGTCACTTTTGGGTTGGATTGAATGATCTTGTGCCCTGGTGGTCACTCTTGGTCTGTCACTTCTGGATTGGATTGAGTGATCTTGTGCCCTGTGGTCACTCTTGGTCTGTCACTTTTGGGTTGGATTGAGTGACCTTTTGTACTGGTGGTCACTTTTGGTCTGTCCGTCTTGGGGGCCATTTTGGGTTGGATTTAGACGGGTATCGTGATCCCGTAAACGAGATATGGTGCTCTCAGTGTAGGCTGGAATGATGAGAAATGTCTGACTCTCCAGCTTAAAGACGTCATTAGGTGACAGACGTTTGGCAAAACTGTTAACGTGGCTGATGTTTGAACTGTAATTGTTATTGTGACAATACAAGTGCATTGTGTAAGTCTACTTTCAATTTTCTTTCATGACAGTCTGTGCAGTCTCATAAAACGTGCCGAAAAGTTTAAAACGGTGTGTTTGGGCAGTAAACCAGTGAACGAACTGTCATAAACATCATTAAATATTACTATATTGCATTTGGATTGATTGTTTCAAGAATAACCAAAATGAACATTCACATAATGCCTTTCTATTACTGAAGGGGTGGTGAGGTAGCCTAGTGGTTAAAGCGTTCGCTCGTCACACCAAAGGCCCTAGTTCGATTCCAAACATGAGTACAATGTGTGAAGCCCATTTGTAGTGTCCCCGCCGTGATGTTCCTGGAATATTGCTAAAAGCGGAGTAAAACCATACTCACTCATTCTATTGCTGAATAGTGTAGTGAGTGAGTGAGTTATTATTTAACGTCACATCGGCCATATTTCAGCCATATCGTGACGAAAACATATGTGACATTGAAATGGAATAGATGTATATTATAAAAACCTGTCGACGAAGGACAGATAAACAACTAGAATATCACAATTAGAACTAAAACTAGTGTGGAAAGTTAATACTAATAGCACTAATTGGACAATACAATATAAAAACAGGCTATAGATCGCCAACAACTGAAGGTAGATCACCAAACTAGGGACCATGGGGACTTACAGTACTTTTGTTACCTGCATGGACCCTAGTTGGATTTATATCATCCCCTCAGCCACTGGCGATTGAAGTCAAATTTAGCCAAAATTAAAATGAAAAAAATACTACATTTAAAACAGCTGGTAAATTTAAATTTTCTTTGAATGTTTCGGGACTTACGTACCCTCTCAGGAGGACAATAATTTTACGCTACTTCAACCCCTTTGAGGGTACAGCCACTAACAATCTCAGTTACTAATCTAAACTACCAATAATAAAATATGTATTTATTTACAAATCAAATCAGTTAACAAGTCTAATTCTTTTTAAAATGCAATAATTAAATTAGAACTTATATTACTAAAAAGATCCTTCATAGTTTGTGATTTGAAATAGATATCCCTTGTGATGGAATATTCAACACAGTCAAGCAGGACATGCTTGACCGTGATTCTTTCATCACAAGGGATACAAAACGGAGGATCCTCACCTTTTAATAGGTACTCATGAGTATATCTTGTGTGGCCAATACGACATCATCGTATGATGACCTCTTCAAATCTAGACTGACAACCCAAGTAGGTGTAACCGATAGTTGGTTTTATTGCATGTAATTTATTGATACCTACTTGGGTGTCCCACTTCTTTTGCATCAGATCACGGATGTAGGTTCTAATGCTAGCTTTGTAATCAGAGTATGGGATAAGAAGTGGTGTCACAGATTTGTTGAGTGCTGCCTTAGCAGAAAGATCGGCCATTGTGTTCCCAGAAATGCCAACGTGGCTGGGTAACCAACAAAACACGATGTCGCATTGGCCAGTAGCAAGTTCATTATACAATTCAATAATTTCTAATAAAAGTGGATGTTTACAAGAAAGATTTTTAATAGCCTGAAGACACGAAAGAGAATCGGAAAAGACGATGTATTGTTTATATTTACGGTGTTTATTAATATATTTAAGAGCTGTTAATATGGCGTTAGCTTCTGCTGTGAAAATAGAGCTATTATTTGGTAGTCGAGAAGATATTGTTCTGGATCCAGTGACAGTGGCACATGCCACCGCGCCACCATCCTTGGACCAATCTGTAAATAAGGATTTGTATGTACTATATATATTTTTCAATTGATTATATTCTTGTTTATATTGTAATTCATTAGTTTCAGATTTCCTAAACTTTGTCAGAGTTAGGTCAACTTCAGGCCTCACCAGTTGCCAAAGAGGAGAAGAAAGAAGACGGGAAGGTGAGATATTTCCCAGCTCAATGCCGGCAGCAGAAATGAATGGTTTAATTCCTAACCCAAGAGGCGGAACAAGAGAAGACTTTTTGTTGTATAAATCCTCATAAAAGGGGTGTAGTAAGACTAAAAGGGGCGGTTAGGCTCTGTGACATGGGAGATCATAGTATTGTGGAGGTAAACACAATTAGAGGTTACTGGTTGTTAACTGGGTTCGATTAGTCTTTAATGGCGGACCATCGTCACACAGCTGAAGGATTGAAACAAAGCTCACCTTCATGGTGGAAGAAATGGATGACAACTTTCATTGATTCCCTTTGTAGCCATTCAAGTGATAGAGTGAGGGAGTGAGTTCAGTTATACGCCGCTTTTAGCAATATTTCAGCAGTATCACGGCGGGGGACACCAGAAATGGACTTCACACACTGTACCCATGTGAAGAATCGAACCGAGGTCTTCGGCGTGCCGGGCAAACGGTTAAACCACTAGGCTACCCCACCACCCGTCGAATATTTGATCAATCAGTGAGTGAGTGAGTGAGTGAGTGAGTGAGTGAGTGAGTTTAGTTTTACGTCGCTTTTAGCAATATCCCAGCAATATCACGGCGGGGGACCAGATATGGGCTTCATACATTGTACAAAAACCCGGGTCTTCAACGTGACGAGAAATCTCTTACACCACTAGGCTACCCCTCGAATATTAGATCAATGATATGATATCATGATTGTAGGAGACATGACTCACCTTGGAGGCGAAAATATTCTGGTTTAAGTTTTGAGGTGTTCCTGGATGAGTTATATTTAACGGAATCAGTTTCCTGTGCACGTTGTCATCCCAGTGCAGTACGTCAAAATGGTTAACCACTTCAAAGTTAAAGTTAACCAATCAAATGAGATCATCCTTCTGTGCCAAGACGAACTAATAAATAAGTCTTCGTCACTGTTTTACAATTTTATTAAGGGGAAAAATGGTTCGAACAAGTCAAGATCACATGTATTGATGGTCAAATATAACGCAGTTACAGAGAATGAAACAATTTTAAGCTTTGGAGACCAAAACCATAGACATAGTTGGACTAGAAGTATATGTTGATGAACAAGTTTCAAGTACAGACCCCTATAAGTATTAACTAAGTATTGCCAGTGGCTGAGAGTAGATAGCATTTGTTCAACAAAGTATAATTCCGAATGTGAGGAATTATCGCTCTTGTCAAATAAAACCATAATATCAATATTTAATCCATATGGCGTCACTTCTGTGGTGGATCTAGGGCTGGCTGAAAAGATCGGTAATCGGCAATACCTTCGATAGGAAAAATAGTAATGATTGTCGATATGAAAATAGTGTATTCGATTATATCGTTCATACACCTTTTTGATAAATTACGTTTTAATTGACTCACACAACAGACCCAGTTAGGTCTTTATTCATGGTCTGCTTCTAAAGTATGTTCAGGACGCTGTTCCCATAGTAACCCATGAATAAACATTTCTCCAATCACCATTGACGTGAAATATATTCATTTCTTGCAGATTTTCTTGTGCATTTTACTCAAAGTTACGTCTCCGATATTTATCGATAGTCGATCGATAGTAATCTAGATAACGATTATGATCTATATCGTTAGCCAGCCCTAGAAGAATCTGTCTGCGGTTCTGTTGATTGTCATATGTTGTGCCTGTACGTTGTTCTGCGTTGTTTACCACGGTCTCACATCAGAAAAGAAGCAGCCACTGAAATTCAATGTAAATACGGTTATATTTAATGACAAAAACAACTCTTGTTAGTCCTACGGGACACATAGATTGTTTTACATTAAATCACTTTCAGGTCGTCACGGTATTGATGTACCTGATTCATGAGAACGTGCATTATTTCCATGTAAAACTACCCATCAAGATCCGGGTTAGAATTTGTCTTCTGCAACCCATGTCGTGAAAGGCGACTAACGGAATCGGGTGGTGAGGCTCGCTGACTTGGTTAACACATGTCATCGTATCCCAGTTGCGTAGATCGATGCTAATGCTGTTGATCACTGGATTGTCTGGTCCTGACACGATTATTTACAGACAGCCGCCATACAGCTGGAATATTGCTGAGTGCGGTGTTCTAAACTTCATGGATGTTCTTTAACCATTATACCGGTTCTCAATAAAATATTGCAATACGTATCGTTTGAAAAACGTATTGCGATATACCGGTATACCGGTAATACCGTGCAGCCCTAATAACATTTTACAGCAATTTATATGTGTGTCAAGTAATAGTGATCACACTTTGTAGGCAACATATATTAAAAATACTTACATAATCCTGCGTTAGGGTCTGAAATGAAATTATGGAACTGTTAAAGCATCAGAGTATATTTGATTGCAAGCATGTTCAGTTCACAAAATGAGATATGATAGAATGCTACAACCGCAATTATTGTAATTCATTCATTATTTACATGTTATGCATTCTTAGGACAAAATTTCTGAATTATTCAAACTTTCACTCACTCACTAATTCAACACCCACTCAGTCAAACATCCACCCACCCATTCTTTGTCTTGATTATTTCGTGATATATGACGTCAACATAAGACATTCGGATCGCGTGGTCAGGCTTGCTGACTTGTTTGACAAATGCCATCGTATTCCAATTGAGTAGATCGATGCTCATGCTGTTGATCACTGGACTGTCTGGTCCAGACTCAATTATTTACAGACCGCCATATAGCTGCAATATTGCTGAGTGCGGCGTTAAACAACAAACAAACAACCATTTCATAGAACAAATGTACAAATGGCAGGAAATGAAATATACTGAGAGAAACAAATAAAAGAGAACTCAAGTGTTCCTTTAATAGTCTCCAGTTTCCATCACCAGGTTTGAATAGCGCTGTGGGAGGAGATCTGAGTGTAAATAAAGGAACACTGCCATAAAGTGGTGTTCCCTTATTTGTTTCCCTCAGTATATATGGCAAAAAAGTGCATTCCGTAAAGCAAGGTTACCTCAAGTCCATGTCGTCCACATCATTTGGATAATCAAACAGCTGGATAACATAAGGAAAGGTATGTTATCATAACCCAAGGGCCATGCATGTATAAGGGCAAAGGTACAATACATCTAATATCATACATAGGGCATTCTGAATACATTGAATAAGGAATTAATGGAAGCATATAAAAACAGTTCATAAACACACTACATAGTGTTACATTCAAAGCGGGATGCGCAGGGTACCGAGTTAGGCCATATTTCAGTGTTTCTCATCAAACGCCCACCCAGAATATTCATTCCGACGTGAAATAATGAAACGTTTATCATCTCAATTCACCCTACACGGTGGAAATAACGTCATTATGTAATATCAAAATACTTCACCCCTCCACAATAATAAAATACTACCTTGATCTGTCTTCATTTACATCTGTTACCAAAACGGTCAAAATACAAAGCGACTCATTGCTTAGTTAAAGTGTTAATACAAATGGATGTAAATTTGATAAGTTAATCAAATTCATTTTATGTAAATAACAAAATTAGTTGAAGTCAAATATGGCATTTTGGATTTTGTACACTACTTTTTCGCCCGCCCGCTCTTTTTTTGAAGACAAGAAACACATTCAAATACGGAGTTATGGATTAGTACATACACAAGTAAATATTATAGTTTATAGCTAAAATACATGGAATTATCATGAAACGGCCCTCCCATTATCAACCTTAACGACGGGCCACTATCAGTTCTGTTGTCAAGTGACGTCATAGTTCGACATTAATTGGCTTTCGACTGGCAGATATTCTGGGTCAAACATGTCAAAGCAACCCAAATTCCCGCTTTAAATAGCAGTAATATTGGCTTTCTTGTTGGTGCTAACCTTAACAGTTGCACTATTAGGCTGTTGATGGACCAAAACCGAACACCGTCATAGTTTGACATGTTGCAGGCTATGGTCTTGTCAAAGGCCAAGGTCGAATACCGTCACTTTCTGTTGTGACGTCACTTGAAGTGTTCGATGACGTAATTGCATTCGGGCAGTCAACCCCGTCAAAAGTTGATTTGGGTAAACTTACAGTCAAATTCCTTCATTGTTTCCTTTTTCTTTTCAACACAAATTCCATGTATTTTAGCAATAATAACGGTAATGCTATTTTTGAGGGCATTATCATTTGCAGAAGCCCTCGGTCTTTTTCAACTGCCTTCCTTCGTCGGGCAGTTGATGGAAGACCTCGGGCTTCTGCAAATGATAATGCCCTCAAAAATAGCATTACTCTTATAATAGTAGGTATATGGTGTGTGTGTTGTGTTAGTGTCTTTATACACAGTGAATAGTTTGTCCCGAAACCTCGTCTTTCGGGCGATCGAATTCGGAACACTCATACATTTTTAATGAAAGTGATATAACACCTCCTCTAATAATATCTCTGCGTTTATAAATCACAATAAATAGTGTTTGGTATGGCAACAGCTGTTTCGGGTTCACGAGATATGCATAATTTAATATCTAAGCGAGTATGCTTCACGCCGATTTTTGCAGTGTTTCAGCAGCATCACGGCGGGGGACACCAGAAATGTGCTTCACACATTTTACCCATTTGGGGAATCGAACCCGGGTGTACCGCGTGACGAGCGAACGCTTTAACCACTAGGTTATCCCGCCGCCCAAATATTTTGGAAACAGCTGTAAAACCACGAAATTTGTCAAGTATGTTTCATGTGAATGAGAATTAGATTTTCATTTCAACAATTGCATTATTAGGCCAAGTGACACCAGACACTATATATAATAGCTAGTTAGTTTTATGCCGCTTTTAGCAATATTCGAGCAATATCACGGCGAGGGACACCAGAAATGGGCTTCACACGTTGTGCCCATGTGGGAATCGAATCCGCGTCTTCGGAGTGACGAGCGAACACTGGGCTACCGCCCCGCCTCACTATATATGATAGCAATGAACGTGTATTGCCAGTCTTGCTAATATACCGAAAAATAATCTTTTATGGTGTGGATATATCACTAAAATCAGTGACATTAGACTTTCGCGAAAAGAATATGCATCTTTTGTCCAACCAGTAGCACTAGCCGTTCATAGCGTTTGTTTAACGGTAAGTATTTATAGACTAATGCGATACAGTATTGCTTCCGCAATGCAACGGCGTTGTTAAACAGACAATCAAGGGATAGGTATGCTAACATATCCAGTGCAAAGCAGTTGTTGCCTTTTATAAGTTAAAATAAACGATACGGTGTTTTTAATTACCTGTTCCGTAAAAGCGCAGAGATTCTATTTCGTAAACGTACAGAAACGTTTGAGAAATGTATTCGTTACACATAGTGACGTTAGTTATGTCGAGCGTGATAAATGTTGGTTGTTGTTTTACGCCGCACTCAGCAATATTTTTCAACTATATGGCGGCCGTTATTAAATAATCGAGTCTGGACCGGATAATCCAGTGATCAACAACACGGGCATCGATCTTCTCCATTAAGATACGATGACGTGTGTCAACCAAGTCAGCGAGCCTGACCACCCGATCCGTTATTCGCCTCTTACGACAAGCATGGGTTACTGAAGATCAATTCTAACCCGGATCTTCACGGGTCACGGGTCCGTCGCAAGAGAAGATGCGACAGGTCACGGGTGGTGTCTGCGGTGTTAAGTTAATGAGTATGCCCTCCACCCCTAATGCCAAGTGTTTTTTTATCAAGATATAGAACAATAGCAATATTAACTGACACGTGTTAGGAGCCATGAAACACAACTGTTTCGATAAGATCCGAAGATATAAAAATTCGTAATATACAATTCGGATTATTATGCAGTAACGTTTGTTTAAAAGCTGTGCAAATTATGTTAAATACATGAATGATAGTAATACTACCATATTAATTATAATAGTGATAATAATAAGGTGAAGAGGAAGAAGAAGAAATATACTCACCCGCAGTCCCGAGGCCGAAAGGATCGTTGGCGTTAGGTCCAGCCCCGGCCGGAAGAACAGGGTCGAAGACAGCAGAAGACCAGGAGTTGGATACCCGGGGTTGTGGTTGGGTGTTGCCGAAAAGAGCTGATAGGAACCCTCCCGCCTGGCTACCGGCCGCTCCCCCACGTGCATTTGCTGGAATAACAGGAGTGAGTGAGTTGGTCGAGTTTAAAACCATTTCAAAGAAAATTTCATTTCTATTGCAGTGTGTTAACTTCATATGGGAAAATAAAGGACGAAGTCATGGACGTTTACCGGTATGGTTTTGCTTGCTTGTTGTTTAACGCCGCACTCAGCAATATTCCAGCTATATGACTGTAAATAATGGAGTCTGGACCAGACAATCCAGTGATCGATATCATATGCATTGATCTACGCAACTGGGATTCGACGGCATATGTCAACCAAGTCAGCGAGCCTGACCAGCCGACCTTTTTATGACACGCCTAGGTCGCCTCTTACGACAAGCATGTGTTGCTGAAGAACATTTCTAACCCAGACCTTTACGGGTGGTAAAACCAGTCAGCACGGGTTCGTCACTGACCCTAAATATAAGCGGATTGAACCCGGATTTGAAAGAAATTTAGGACGGATTTTGAATTCACTCCAACGGTTATAGATTAATGGCATTTAGGACTGAGTGAGGTGTGATATTTTGTCGTTATTGTTTTCGCTAGTTGTCACAGTTCCTGGAAATCAATTCTTCCAAAAGTTCCTGGAAATCCGGATTTTCGCGGGCAACTTGATGTGTGATGAAAAATCCAAAGTGATGTATGTCTCATACGTTTTCTACTTTGATGAAAATCACGAACACAAGTACTGACACAGCAAATAGTTCTCACAAATACACTCTAAAATGAATCCAATGTTTATAATGTGGAACCTCCTGTGTCTGGATTCCTGTCTTCTCAAATCCCGTTCAAGTGGCTTGTAGTTGTATATTTATTGCAACATTACTGTCATCGTGTCCCCCTCGCACAGATCGATGTTCACAATATCAATCACTAGTTTATCAGATCCCGACTGGATTATGTACAGAACGCCTATACACGGCTCTAACATAGTGTTGAACAACACACAAAGAAATCAAAATCACAAATGATCCTTAACCCTGACAAACTCACTACACCCATGACCTCGTAAGGATGGGAAAGTCACATTAACTCAGTGCGCCTAGTGGCAGCAAGAGTTGTGTGCTCCCCAGGGAGTTGAGATTGATAATAAGATGTGCCGGTGAGTTTGACATCCAATGATCGTGGGAAAAATACAAGCGCCTTGAGCATGCACTAGTGCGTGGTTATGTGCGGTATATAAATATCCAATAATGAAATAAAACATAATGACCGACACAGTCCACTTTAAAGAGGTTTTCACTTCTACCCATAACCCACCTGCTGGGAGGTCTGGAGGATCGATCCCAAAGGCATTCATCATCAACAGAGTCATTGGGTTGGACATCATGTTCATCAGGCTGTTTCCTATAGAAATGAAACGGTACAACATGAAGGTTGGGAGAGTGAGTGAGTGGGTGAGTTTAGTTTTACGCCACTTTTAGCCATATTCCAGCAATATCACGGCGGGGGACACCAGAAATGGGCTTCACACATTGTATTCATGTGGGGAATCGAACCCGGGCCTTCAGTGTGACAAATGAATGAAGGTGAGGAGAAGCATTCCCGTGAAATGTAACTTTGATTTTTTTAAGAAAAACAATGCGTGTATAATATATGTATAGGAATGTATAAATTGATAGAAACTAAACTGACAGTTATTTCTGTAAGTAATAACGTGAAATATAAACTGTATATGATATACAAGCTTCTTATTTCTTTTGTTCATGGTTCACAAACTTACGGAAGCCTCTGAGGATCATTCATTTTTTCTTGAAATATCAACTTATTTTGAAATTGCAAGATCGTAACTTAAGATTTCAACATATCATTTTGAAATTTCAAGCTAACGATCTAGAAATTTCGAATTTTTGTCTTAAAATTTCTAGATCAGTGTCTTGAACTTTATATGCATCTTGAAATTTCAACTTACTATCTTGAAATTTGAGGATCGTAGTATCTAGAAATTTCAAGAAAAAATGATAAAAAACCCAACGAATGGCCCTATAAGGCTTCCATACAAGCTCATCTATGGTAAGTTATATATACTTTATGTGTGCTTTACCCGAAATTTGGAAGTGGTCATGTTTGGGTTTTGTCGTGTATGTCTTACTTTACTAAATCAAAACTGCAAGGCCATTAAAATATATTGAATAATTTGTCAAGATGGGGATGGTCTTCTTCTTCAAGTATCATGTTAATGACATTAAGAGAAAATTCAAGGTAAGTAACTGTGAAAGGATGTTCAGAATTACCTCTCATAGATCCAGATCCTCCCATTGGTCCTCCACTGGATGCTCCCATGGATCCCCCCATGGATCCCCCCATGGATCCCATGCTCCCGGCTCCACCTGTGCTTCCGCTACCTGAAGCTCCACCAGTGAGCCCCGGCATCATTGACATCATGGCCATCGCAGCCCCTAAGCCCTCTCCTCCACCTAGCAGGCTTGACATACCTCCGCCCATACCGCCCATACCGCTCATACCGCCCATACCGCCCATACCGCTCATACCGCCCATACCGCCCATACCGCCCATACCGCTCATACCGCTCATACCGCCCATACCGCTCATACCGCCCATACCGCCCATACCGGCCAAACCGGCCAAACCACTCATACCGCCCATACCGGCCAGTCCTCCCATACCACCCATTGCCCCCATACCACCCCGTCCGCGAGCTGAAAAGAAAAGTAAAATAATATTAAAATATGCGTAATAAGGTTGTTCACAAATCACATCGTGCATTCATTAAGAAATAAACAGCTGAGCTCATTGTATGACTTGACAAGTAAATGAAAAGGAATTTCAATTACATTTGATAATTTCAAAGGGATTAAGATTGGCAATGTGTCGATGTGGCGATAAGCAACACGCACGCACGGACGCACACACGCACTCTGCAAGAACAGCCTTATTCCCAGACACTATCAATTGCATATAGACTTCAGAAACGAGCCAATAGTTGGTTGGTTTGTTGCTTAACGCTGCTCTCAGCAATTGTCCAGCTATATGGCGGCGGTCTCTAGGTAATCGTGTCTGGACCAGACAATCCGGTGCTCAGCAACATGAACATCGATTTACGCAATTGGGATACGATGACATGTGTCAACCAAGTCAGCGAGCCTGACCACCCGATCCTGTTAGTCGCCTGTAACGACAAACATGGGTTGCTGAAGACCGATTTTAAACAGATTTATATTTAAAATGAGTCAATAGAGACTGAACAGATGGTCCAAACCAACGGAGGATCTGGTAGTATGCATCACACTGCCGTGCTCTCGTGGGTTAAGGAAGATATCGATTAATACTTACTAGGAAACTCAATGGGATCCCCAGACATAGCAGACATCATGGCGAGCATATTAAACATGGACATATCTGAAATGATTCAAATGAGGCATTTAGAAACGCTAAAACCTTCAACATCTCGAATGTTCGACTCCCGACGAAATCAATATATCCCTCGATCAGATTTAACGCAATCAAAACTTAAAACAATTCTTCTGCTTCTTGGGAATTATCTTGGTAATTTCATGAATTTAAAGCTATAGTGCCATTGGGACAGGATGGATATCTTTTTGTTATGTTTTTCCAATGATCTATCCATTTTATGGTTTGTGAAAGAGACAGTATTGTGCCAATAATGCTTTCTCATACTTCATTTTGGTACATTTTATCACAGTGGGCTCTTTTCGTTAGTTGGCCGATCCTTTTACCATTCAGTGGGAATACTTTACCAACTGCATTGTGTAGACGTTCAGCGTAGATGACTATACATATTAGGCCATAATAAATATAATGAGATGTACAGCCTTGCCCGTAAACACCAGGGAGTAGACTTTTGAGACAAAATTCATGAAAGACAACTTCGCGTCAGTGATAGCTCTATGTCGGATGACGTTACCACCTTCCATAGATTGATGTTTCCACCTAGTACCTATCGCGATGAAACTGAAGATGTATTTTACCCCGAGTATTTCCTTATTGCATACACCAGACATGGTGTCCCTATGCAAACATTCTTCCTGCATATGAACTCCATCCGGAGACACTTTATATGTATTTGTTTAAAAGAATAGAAGACGGGTTACAAATAACAGATAAATTAGTTGATGCCTTACAAAAAAATCGTTCACTGGTTTGTATTTTTGTGATTACCATTTTGACTTTGTTTCGCTGCTCCTCTTGGCAAATTGAATTGATTCTGCTGCGATTGTTGTTGCCCGCCTCCAAACTGAGAGAGAAGTCCTTGACCTTGACCTTGACCCTGGGTTTGACCTTGTCCTTGTCCCAAAGCTGCAGACATTCCCAGGGCACTGGGCTGTCCCCACCCGTTCTGACCCCATCCAGATCCACCCCACTGTGATCCTCCCCATTGTGGCTGTTGGGGTGACATATATTGACCTTGACTTCTATATGCTGGGGGGGTTTGCGGGGTTCTCATACCGAACTGGTACTGATTTGTCTGTTGCTGCATGTTGTTTGTTTGTGATGGCTGCATGAATCCCCTATTGCCCATCATATTAAACATTGGTTGCTGTTGTTGCTGCTGTAGTTGATTTTGTTGTTGAAGTAGCTGCTGCCTTTGAAAATAGTTCATCTGTGTATTTCCAAATGGTGAACGTTGAGCTGTTTGTTGATTAGGGCTTGTTTGTTTTTGTGTTGTCTGACTTTGTGTCGCTTGTTGGTTCGTTTGAGTTGCCTGCTGGTTGGCATATGGGTTCTGGCTTTGAGTTGCCTGTTGGTTGGGGAATTGTGTCTGGCTTTGAGTTGCCTGCTGGTTGTTATATGGTGTCTGGCTTTGAGTTGCCTGTTGGTTGGGGAGTTGTGTCTGGCTTTGGGTTGCCTGTTGATTGGCATATGGGTTCTGGCTTTGAGTTGCCTGTTGGTTGGGGAATTGTGTCTGGCTTTGAGTTGCCTGCTGGTTGTTATATGGTGTCTGGCTTTGAGTTGCCTGTTGGTTGGGGAGTTGTGTCTGGCTTTGGGCTGCCTGTTGGTTGGCATATGGGTTCTGGCTTTGAGTTGCCTGTTGGTTGGAAAATTGTGTCTGGCTTTGGGCTGCCTGTTGGTTGGCATATGGGTTCTGGCTTTGAGTTGCCTGTTGGCTGGCAAATTGTGTCTGGCTTTGAGTTGCCTGTTGGTTGGCATATGGGTTCTGGCTTTGGGTTGCCTGTTGGTTGTTGTACGCTGTCTGGCTAGAACTTGTTTGTTGGTTGGTAGATGTGCCCGTCTGTTGTGCAGTTTGACCTGTTTGTTGAGGTGAACCTGGGGCAGCATATGGAAGAAGCTGAGCGTTTGTTCTTGTTGTTGAAGCCGATCCTCCATAAGGGATTGCTTGGACATTCCTTGTAGTTCCAGGGACACCGTTTGTTGATTGTGCTTGTGAAATAATAGGCATCCCAGATGACATAGCCTGACTACTTGTCTGAGCATTACTGAGAAGGGTGAAGAGTTGACTGCTCAAATCGGTCATTGTTGAAGGTGAGTTGGCTGCCTGTGTTTGAAATTGGGGGTTAGTACCGGGAGCCTGGGCTGTTGTGCCTACAAATTAAAAAAAACACTTTGATTCGTGAAAAATTGTCTCGTCAAACTAAAATGCTTCATGAAATGAATTTTATTCAGCAACAACTTCTGACATGATTCATGATGAACGCAGGTTCTTACAAACACACAATGAACACACACACTAATACCGCATTAAGCCGGACACTGGGGTGTAAACAATACCACTCTTAATGCCTGTACCCTCTCCACACAGTTGGACCCGTGAAGATCCGGGTTAGAATTGATCTTCAGTGACCTATGCTTGTCGTAAGAGGTGACTAACGGGATCGGGTGGTCAGACTCTCTGACTTGGTTGACACATGTCATCGGTTCCCAATTGCGAAGATTGATGCTCATGCTATTGATCACTGGATTGTCTTGTCCATTATTTACAGACTGCCGCCATATAGGCGGAATATTGCTGAGTGCGGGGTAAAACTAAATTCACTCACCCACTCACTCACTCCACACAGTCGTCCGAAAGATTATAGGGTTCATGAAAATATTGTCTCAAGATTTTGCAATTTTGTAGGAACAATGGTTTTTTCTAAGAAGGTTTGCGACTCACACAAAACCAGTCTTACAACATTCAAACACTCAATTAAGACTTCCAAAGGATGATTTTTTGGGAAACGTTTCCTAAGTTGACACCTGAGCGACAAATATTATCATGCAATTTTCCAATTTGACTACATTTTGTATTATCTGATGAACAAGTGATTTCAGTTATGCTTGTGATCCTAAAGCAGAGATTTAATATGATCATGGAAAATATACTCATGGAAACGAATAAAGAAACACATGAAAGTACAATTATTCCTTTATTTATTTCCAGAATTTCACCCACAGTGCAATATATACCTTGTGAAGAAACTTGGAAAGGAATAAAGGAACACTTGTACTTGTGAAGAAACTTGGAAAGGAATAAAGGAACACTTGTACTTTCATGTGTTCCCTTTTTTATTTCCATGAGTATATTTGTCTAATATGTTTACTGTTATTGCTTTACGTGTGTGTGTGTGTGTACGGTTACATGACCCTTGTCACACTAGAATCTGAGTTCAGTGCTGACAGATAGCCTCTGAATATGAGATAGTTCCATCACGGTAACGTGTACGTCTGTCCTGGGGGTCGTGAGCGTGATCCATATGTCAGGTACAGTCATCACTCCGGCCACAGTTGTCACGTTTGTGTCCTGTTATACATCACTGAGACGCACCTGTCACGGATGTCTACTCAGGGGAGGTATAACAGTGATAAGTCTCACAAAATGCTGTGACCGTGTTTTATCTTAATTTGCAGGCTATTAATGGACAATAGGATTAGGTTGTGTAACACGTTGTGACTACAAAAATAACCTATCTGTGTTATAATGGAGAATTTAATCTAATGGGTCCTTGTCGACCTCAATACACTTCCGCTGACGTTGCGAAAACGGATGTCTTGATTTGGAAACTTCCTCGATGATACCTTTTTGAGAATATGGTTCTCTGATGTATTTTTAAGTATGTCAGGAAAATATATTGTTTGTTTGTTGTTTAACGCCGCACTTGGCAATATTCCCGCTACATGAGGGTGATCTCTAAATAATCGAGTCTGGACCAGACAATCCAGAGATCTACAATATGAGCATCGATCTACGCATTGGTATACGACGACATGTGTCAACCAAGTCAGCGAGCCTGACCACCCGAACCCGTCACGACAAGCATGGGTTGATGCAGACAATTTTAAACCCGGATCTTGACGGGTCTAGCTAAATAGATGAGGCATCTGTGTATAGTGGTGGTATACTGGCATCTCTTTGATGTCGAGAATAAAAATATCATTTGAAGCTACAGTGACGTGGTTTTCCCACAGCAAATCATCTGTACGGTAATTTTAAATGACAGTACTCATATCCTATTTCCTGAATTTCAACTTCTTCTACGACTGCGCACGCTGCTATTCAGAACAAACAGGGCTCGAAATTCTTTCATCCCAATAAGCATGAGTGTTTTAAAAGAATTGTTTTAATGTTTATAAATTATTTTATAATACTTTATCAATTGTTTCAAACTGTTATATTAATATATTTTTAGTGCTAATGTTCCTCAGCATAATTTTTAATGTCGCCACTATAGCTCTAAACCTTTAATATTCATTATCTATTCATCATTTATCTTTACCTTATATATTGAACGTTGTTGCTAGCTATTATAGTAATAATTAACATATGAGTGTTCTTGCGGTCTTATGTATATGTATCTTTTGTTGTATGTGTTTTCAATGTTAACCGTGTTCAGCAAACTGAACTGAACTGAACTGAACTGAACTGAACTGAACTGAACTGAACTGAACTGAACTGAACTGAACTGAACTGAACTGAACTGAACTGAACTGAACTGAACTTAACTGAAGTTAATAACTTAACTTAACTTAACTGAACTGAACTGAACTGAACTGAACTGAACTGAACTGAACTGAACTGAACTGAACTTAACTTAACTTAACTTGACTTAACTTAACTTAACTTAACTTAACTTAACTTAACTTAACTTAACTTAACTTAACTTAACTTAACTTAACTCGCGTTATATTATCTTATCTGCATAGTTTGTGGCATATTTCAACGAGGATAAATACTAGCCTAACGTTGCAAAATCTATTCATATTTGTTTATCCTAAATATACCTTGACCGCGTTTTGTTCACCTTGCTGAATGAATTGAGGTTGGCGTGTTTTCTCACAAAAAGTAAATCCAAAATTACCCTCATTACCAAGCACGTCTCACGTTGACACAGCAAACTTATTCATGTTTTCTTCTAACATAGATTCATATACGAAAAGGAAACCTGGCCGAAACCTTGCTGTTTCCTCCTACGTTTCTTAACTAGCGGCCACGTGGTCAAGTTTATGAATAAATCATTTTGCAATATGAGGACATAATTTTAACAGCATGATCACAAGTACATGTACATATTATATTTACATAAGTTTCGTTTTACGTCTAAGTCAATACTTGTTCAATATATATGTATCTTTTGAAGACGTCGGAAAGCTAATGGCCACATGTATTGTCCTCGCAGATCTCTTGATCATGACAAATGGTGTAAGTTAAATAGGGCACATTTCCGGCTTGTTCTTATTCTGTTTCTGGTTATATATTTATCTGCTTGTCCTTGATAAGATGATAACTGACGTTTATATGAAGAGCTCCTGGCAGATGAGCGTGATCAGCGTGTCCGAATAATAAACGACCTTGTCCGAGTGATGTGCTGTACTGTATGCAATGTGACATAACGGTATTGTTTTAACAGTTTTATCGTGGTATGTGTCCTGCCCTTCAAGCTAAAAAAGGAGGCATAAATCTGAAACATCTCGTGATACTCATCTGAACATTTACAACACTTTATGACAGTACACGAGAGCAAGTACAGTAAATTGGTTATAAGGTTATAACTTTCTAAAACGGCAAAGAGTGAGTGAGTGAGTTAATATTTAACGTCACATCGGCAATGTTTCAGCCATATCGTTACGAGAACAATTCTGACGTTTATAAAGAATATGTGTATATTATAAGACCTGTCGTAGAAGGACAGTAAAACACACTAGATTATCACAGTTACAAATAAAACTAGTATGTTAGGTTAAAACAAATAACATTTTTTTGGACAACACAGTAAAAAAACTGGTTATAGATCGCCAACAACTGACGGTATATCACCGTACTAAGGACCATGGGCAAACTACAGGAGTGAACGGGGCAAAGAGGTCAGTTCTTCATATCCGTCAGGTCGCAGTACGCTGTTATTTTGACTTATACCACACGTTCCCGAATTATTTCAGGTGAACAAATGACTTACTTAGCATATGTTTATGAGGAGTGCCACCGGTGGGGCAGGATACGCTCAACTTTTCGCGAACACCTGGTATCATCAATATTTCATAGTGATTCATAAACACATGCTCTGTAGTTGATTCATCAAAGTCTTGTAGTTTCTATTACTTTCTTATTTGTATCAATTGGCCACGAAACAAAACTTAGATAATTTGTTAATTTCCAAGATGATTATAATTCAGAGATAACCTGTTCATATTTTCACAACTTGTTACAATTATTATATATATATATATGTATGTGAACTTATACATGTATTATAGAGCGACATTAATATAAGCCGTTTAGGCTTGTTCACCAATCCCTTTCGTTTCCGAATAAAATATGTTTAAACCACATGTACTGTCATCTCATTGCATGCTGGCAATCACTGCATTGTCTGGTTCGGACCATATTTGTTTACAAACCTCATCATACAGCTGGAATACTCCTGAAACAAATATCTGCTCATGATACAGTCACAATTGTACAATCGACTCTGCTTTTAGCAGAGATTTCTTATGAATGTGGAAAGGTTTTGTCGCTTCTATTTCTGTGAGAAGAATCTGCACTAAACTATTTTATCTTATTTGGTTGTATTAATCTAGATGTACTGCACTCCACGATCGACGGTCTACCTGTAAATAAGGTTTACTTAGTGCCTCGTGGCAAATGTACACATTGTATTTGTGTCAGTGATGACACACACACCATGTATATATAGTTAGAGTGAGTGAGTGAGTTTAGTTTTACGCCGCACTCAGCAATATTCCAGCTATGTGGCGGCGGTCTGTAAATAATCGAGTCTGGATCAGACAATCCAGTTATCAACAGCATGAGCATCGATCTGCGCAATTGGGAACTGTTGACATGTGTCCACCAAGTCAGGGAGCCTGACCACCCGATCCCGTTAGTCGCCTCTTACGACAAGCATAGTCGCCTTTTGTGGCAAGCGTGGGTTGCTGAAGACCTATTCTACCCCGGATCTTCACGGTCCTGTATAGTTAGAAGGAACAAGTGTGACAGTTCTGCTTGCTCTCTGTGGGCTTACATCTGGTATGGGTATACCTTTAAGGTTATATTCATTATGCCAAATAGTGAAATGTGTATGGTCTTATTGAATCGGGGGTGGTTGAGT